GGCTCTTGAATACTGGGACCGGCTCAATCAATAGTAGGACAGATTAGATGAGTACTGAAACAGATTAACTGGATGTTGACACACGGTGACTGAATGCCGGGAGTGGCAAAACTGGATATTGGGCGTGAATAACTGAATACTAGGCGTGGCTAACTGAATGTTGACACTGGCGGGCTGAATGTTGGGAGCGGCTAACTGAACACTAGGAGCGGCTAACTGAACATTGGGAGCGGCTAACTGAACATTGGGAGTGGCTAAGTGAACATTGGGAGCGGCTAACTGAACGTTGGGAGCGGCTAACTGAACACTGGGAGCGACTTACTGAATGCTAGGAGTAGCAAACTGAATATTGGGAGTGACTAACTGAATACTGTGGGTGGCTAACTCAGCGTTGTGAGTGGCAAAATGAATGCTGACACTGGCGGACTGAATATTAGGAGTGGGTGGTTAAACGCTGTGAGTAGTTAAATGAATATTGGGAGAGACTAACTAAATACTATGAGTGGCCAACTCAGCGTTGTGAGTGGCAAAATGAATGCTGACACTGGCGGACTGAATGTTGACGTGGTAAAACTGGCGGGCTGGATGTTGGCAGCGGCAACATGGGAGTGTATTATGTGCAATGACGTCGACTATGATAACACACAAGCATGTCGTAAGAGTCCACTAACTGTGGGCTTCTTCAAAGTCAGAGTGCATCTGCCTGAGAGGCAAGGAACCAATAGTCTGCATACGGGTAAGACAGTTCTGTAAAAAGGATGCGCAAGCGGCATTCAGGTTCTGGAACAAGACTAAAGTCTAAAGGTGGACGAACAACTTGAAGTTTCCGCCGGAGAATCCAGACGGTAAACACTAAGAAGAAGAAACGGTCTAAAACTGGTATCGAGGTAAAGTCCTGGAAAGTAAAGGCAGCAGGTGGTGGTTATCCATAACGACCATCTAATTCCGATTAGTCAGTAAAAAATATATGTCTTGCATAATATGTTATTTCCGTATCCTTTACAGGACGTTACAGAACCAACATTTTTTGACTGTTGTGGTTTTTCTAGGCAAATTTTACGTTCAATAGTTTGTTATTGCTTTTGAACTGTCAGCTCTCGGTACCATTGTCGAAACCAACGCAAAACAAATTGTCCGCAGCTGGGATCAAACCCAGCAACCCGGCATTACAAAGCGCGTTCGCATGAAAAGGTTATATTAACCTTTACTGGAGCTTTGTCACGTTGTTTTGTCACCCATGAAGAGAAGCTAAATTTCTCAGGGATTATCACACTTTTAGAGGTTATCACATTTTCGGCAGGCATCCCGGATGGGAAAAACCGGCAAGGACAGCCAACCAAACAAATGTTCCGAAAATTGTTAACATAAATAAGTGAAGGGAATAAATTCTGGGCGTGGATTCCTTCATACTTGTTGCAATGTTATAAAGTTTGCGGTGGGGTAGAATGTTAACAATATTACCCAGTGAATTATGTTACTACTGGCTCTTGAATACTGGGACCGGCTCAATCAATAGTAGGACAGATTAGATGAGTACTGGAACAGATTAACTGGATGTTGACACACGGTGACTGAATGCCGGGAGTGGCAAAACTGGATATTGGGCGTGAATAACTGAATACTGGACGTGGCTAACTGAATGTTGACACTGGCGGCTGAATGTTGGGAGCGGCTATCTGAACACTAGGAGCGGCTAACTGAACATTGGGAGCGGCTAACTGAACATTGGGAGCGGCTAACTGAACATTGGGAGTGGCTAAGTGAACATTGGGAGCGGCTAACTGAACGTTGGGAGCGGCTAACTGAACACTGGGAGCGACTTACTGAATGTTAGGAGTAGCAAACTGAATATTGGGAGTGACTAACTGAATACTGTGAGTGGCTAACTCAGCGTTGTGAGTGGCAAAATGAATGCTGACACTGGCGGACTGAATGTTGACGTGGTAAAACTGGCGGGCTGGATGTTGGCAGCGGCAACATGGGAGTGTATTATGTGCAATGACGTCGACTATGATAAAACAAAAGCATGTCGTAAGAGTCCACTGTGGGCTTCTTCGAAGTCAAAGTGCATCTGCCCGAGAGGAAAGGAACCAATAGTCTGCATACGGGTAAGACAGTTCTGTAAAAAGGATGCGCAAGCGGCATTCAGGTTCTGGAACAAGACTAAAGTCTAGAGGTGGACGAACAACTTGAACTTTCCGCCGGAGATTACAGACGGTGAACGCTAAGAAGAAGAAGCTGTCTAAAATGGGTATCGAGGTAAAGTCCTGGAAAGTAAAGGCAGCAGGTGGTGGCTATCCATAACGTCCACCTAATTCCGATTACTCAGTTAAAAAAATATATTAGTCTTGCACAATATGTTATTTGCGTATCCTTTACAGGACGTTGCAGAACCAGCTTTAGCATTATTTGACTTTTATGGTTTCTCTAGGCAAATTTTACGTTCAATAGTTTGCCATTGCCCCTGAACTATCAGCTATTGGTGCCATTGTCGAAACCAACGCAAGACACATCATGACCGGCTCCAGCTGACGGGCCGTGCTGCTGACGTCACCGCGTCAGGCTAACGATGCGGTAACGCAGCGGTTCTAAAACAAGATATAAACTATTTTCGAAAGTGGCAAGGAAAGACAACTTAAATTTTATCTATTAAGTATCTACATGCCTTCTTCATTATTTCACATTTTTAGCTGACTTTTCTTTATTACGCGGCAGCCCTGGCATACGCTCAGGACACCCCAGGCTGCCTCAGCACCCAGTTTGAGAAATGCTGCGTTAACGCATCGTTAGCCCGACCCGGTGACGTCAGCAGCACGGCCCGTCAGCTGGAGCCGGTCGTGGATGGGCTGTCCTGGGAAAGTAAAGACAGCCGGCGTAATGCTGACCACATTACCCACCGAGTGCTGATGGTCTGTAAAAATATGGGCGCTCTTCCCATATGCCCGATACGCCTAAAGGCGTGGAAAGGAATCTTTACTTCACTATAGTATAACCTGCCTGCTAGGGAAGAGGCAATGGATGTCCTTATGGAGTTCATACGCCTGACGCCGCTCCTCCTGCTGACCAGACGTCCACTTTCACGACTGCCTATCCCACAGCCATTCAGCCTCTCAGCCCGTAAATCCACTTGAGGCTTGAATTTTTTTTTTGAATCCAGGTTGTCTCCTCTAGAACCGTTGTGTTTTGTCCCAGGACCGCGAGGTCCTGGTTGTAATATTACTATCGTCTGCTGCTTTGTGACCTGTATCAATGACCTCACGACCATGACCCCGTTACTACACGTCAGAACGACAACTCTGCAACTAACTACACGGCGCCGAGGTAAGAGTTCACTTCAGAGATAACACAATTTTATCTTTCAGTAAGTAAATAATCACATATGTTTAAATTTACTAAAAGTAAAGAGTCTTGCGAATTATTATCATGATAACTAAATGCACTGCGTTATTAAAGCAGACATTTACAGAATTGCTGCAAATTTGATGTATGGTGCCCGGCATTTGCAAGTTAAGTTACGTTCTATACGAAAGTAAACTAGAGGGGACATTAATTAGGTACAGTTTCATCATACTCTTGTATGACTATGTGTCGTAACTTTCGTGAAGTTTAGGTAAATTATATCACATTTCATAACGGTAGTAGTTTTAATATTAATGTTCAACTGTGTTTATTGGGAACTATAGAATATCTTGTTTTTTACCCCACATAATGATCATCATCATTATCAGGTGCCTTGCCGACTGGCGTGGGCGATCATGCCTCTTCACAATCTGCGATCTCCTGCAGCATGTATCAGTTCGTGTGTTGACACACCTCTGTGCCATGCAGCAAGACTGTCAAGAATCTTCTCTTGTTGTCTTCCTTTATCCCTCCTTCCACAGATCTTTCCAGTGGTCACAACATGTTCTATTTTCCTTCTTCTCATAACATGGCCAAAAAATGATGACTGTCTCTTCTGATGTCTGTGGTAAGTTGTCTCTGGGCTCCTGCCTCTTTCAAAACCTCTTGGTTGCTCTTTTTGGCTGTCCAAGGTATTCTAAGTATTCTTCTGTAAAACCACATCTCTGAGGCCTCCAGAAATTGTTTGGCCTGCCTACCAATTGTCTAGGATAGAGATTTAGGCTATCGTCCGAATAATGGGCACAAAAGATGGCGGCCACAAAAACACTCTAACAGAGCTTCAGTCAAGTGTTAATTGCGCACTTCCGGCGACTTAATTTGCGGTTTTCTGACGACTACCGCCACCGCCGAGAGTATCCCCCATGCCGCTCAAGTGGCATGGATTGGGGCTAAACTAGATGGCTGGGACTCACGAGCAGCAGCTTCCCCATCTCCTGCAGCTTTGCTCGTGAGTCCTAGCCATCTAGTTTAGCCCCAGTCCACGCCGCGTCGGGGACACTCTGTGCGGTGGCGGTAGTCGCCGGAAAACTGCAAATTTGGTCACCGGAAGTGCGCAATCGACACGTGACTAAGGCCCTGTTTTTGGCCGCCATCTTTTGTGCCCCTTATTCGGAGGATAGCCGAGATTTATATTTTTCATTTCACACTATATTGTAAATTTTATATCCCACAGTGGATTTTGCACATGACCAGAGATCGCTGAAGAAGAAGAAGAAAAAGAATGTAGTAACAATTTAGGTTTCATGCAGGTTAGGCTCATAAATGCATGTTTGGTCATATTTAGGTCCATACATATATTTGTTGTGTTTATTTGTGATTATAATATGCATATGTTTCTTTGGGTGTTGATTCCAGGATTTTCAGCATTTACTGTTGAAGACAACTTTTTTATTAAGTATGTGATTATAATATGCATATGTTTCTTTGGGTGTTGATTCCAGGATTTTCAGCATTTACTGTTGAAGACAACTTTTTTATTAAGTATGTGATTATAATATGCATATGTTTCTTTGGGTGTTGATTCCAGGATTTTCAGCATTTGCTGTTGAAGACAACTTTTTTATTAAGTTTATAAAAAAGTCCGACTTATCGGGATAAAGATGACAGAAATAGATACCGGAAATGAGCAGCTAAATGCCGAGATTAACCAGTGGTTGAAGTGGGACAAGGTCAGTATCTCATTGTGTTTTATCTACTTCCCGTCCTTTTTAGGATAGCATTTTTCATTATTTGAAGCCCTACTCTGGCTCTTGCCAGGGGTCGCATTATAGCCTGGCCATAAATACGGCCTAAAGGCTGAACGCGGTTTCTGGGACCTCCCTACGGTGATCCTCATCCACATGGTGGCACATTGTGTCATCAGGTGTTTATCGTGCTTGTGTGATGTCCTGGTGGGGTAGAAAGTCAGTCAGTCAGTCATCTCATTGTGGGGGAAAGGGGGGGGGGGAGGGAGTTGCATGTATTCATGTGTGTCTTTGTACATTTGTGTGTGTATGTGTGGGTGAGAGAAAGAGAGAGAGACTAAAAGAGAGAATCTGCTTATAATTTAAATTTAAAATTAGAATTTTAGAATTGGCAAAATGGTTTGTTTTTTGTGATGTAATGCAATTGTTTGTGTGATGTCCTGGTGGGATAGAAAGTCAGTCAGTCAGTCATCTCATTGTGGGGGAAAGGAGGGGGGGGGGGAGTTGCATGTATTCATGTGTCTTTGTACATTTGTGTGTGTATGTGTGGGTGAGAGAAAGAGAGAGAGACTAAAAGAGAGAATCTGCTTATAATATAAATTTAAAAATAGAATTTTAGAATTAGCAAAATGGTTTGTTTTTTGTGATGTAATGCAATTGTTTTAAATGTAAAACAGAATGAGAAAACCCGTTTGGCAATAAAGACTTTAACTGAAGAAAATAATTACCCAGAACTGAAGAAGCTGCTGTTGCAACGGATGGAATTTGGAACTGCTGGTAAAATTATGTCTCTGTATAAATGTATTTGTCAGTTTATTCAATTTATCCTGCTTTATGTAAACAAAAGGATCATGTGGGAAATCTAAGCCTTCCATTTTAAATTTTCAACAGTAGACTTATTTTCATATTTCAGGGAAAAATATTAATTTTACTGCTTGTTTCTTATGTGATGTATTCATTCAGATAAATTTCAAAATCCATTTAGAGCTGGTTCAAATGTTTTGGGCCTACGTACTTTAAAATCTACATAATAAATATTGTTTATGAATAAAATAAAGTCTGAGAGTCACGTTAGCCTAGTGGCTATTACTTGCCTATTGGACCAAATTCACATTGAGGCATATATTTTTTTTAACAATGTATCTGGACTCTAAGGTTGACCCAGCCTTCAAAAGTCACACTTCAAAGTGTCTATTACAGTGACACTGAAAAATGTATCCTAAAAAAAAGGTGTTGGTTCTGCATACCATTGTGTACTGAGAGGAAAAAAAAGCGCTGGGTCCAGCTCCATATATCTGATGTACCCCAGCATGAAAAGGTCCTTTACTTTTTGTTTTTGAAAGCTTCTTCTTCTTTCTTCTTTGCGTTCACCGGCTGTAAACTTCAGCTGAAAGTTCTGGACTTTAATTTTTTGTTCCAGAACATGAGTGTTGGGTGCACATCTGTTTTATAGATCTGACTTATTTTTATGCAGATTGTTGGTTCCTTGCCTCTCAGGCAGACATACTCCGACTTCAAAAGAAGCCTCCAGTAATTAGACTCTTACGACATGCTAGCTGGGGAGGCAGTTTAAAAACTAAAGTCTGTTGTTTGGTTTGCAACCTGTATGGGTTCCAGGGCCCCATTTTTTTGGGGCGGGGGGGGGGGGGGGGCGAGGGCATTGCTACTCTTAGCATGTCATAAGAACTGAGCAAATCGGGGTGTTTCCTTCAAAGTTAGATTGCATCTGCCTAAGAAGTGTGGCATTATAGTCTTCTTAAAATAAACCAAATAAGTAATACAGATGTGCATGCAAAACTCAAGTTCTGGAACAAGACTAAGCCCAAAAGTGGACGAACAACCAGAACTTTCCACCTGAGTTTACAGCCAATGAATGCAAGCAAGAAGATGATTTGCTACTAATTTCAAAGTCAACAACATTGTTGTCTCTGTGTAAAAACTGTGGAGGTCTGCTTTAGAACATTCCAGTAAATCATTAAATATTATACAATTTTAGTTGTCTATAAGATTATCCGTCCATTGATTTACCACACAGCTGTAATAACCAAATGTCTATTTTAATTCTAGGCTTGAGAGCAAAAATGGGCCCTGGAAATTCTCAGATGAATGATTTAACTATCATACAAACAACACAGGTATGTATGTGAAGATGGTTTTTATATGTTAATATTTGCCAGTCATAATGCACATTTAAAATATTTTTTTAAAGATTTATTAATACTATATAAATAATAATGCATTATTATATTCAGTGTTATCGTTCTAACATGGGTGTCACCTTGGTGTAGCAACTAGATGCCGGTCTCGAACCCGAAGGTTATAGGTTCAAATCTGGCTAGATTTTTGTTTTTAATAACCTTGCTTCCCAGGCTGACCCAGCCTAAAATGGGTACCAGGTGAGTTCCTGGGAAGTAAAGATGGCCTTGTGATGTTGACCATATCACCCATATAAAAGATGTCTTGAAAGAAACTGACTCATGAAGAGAACTGATTGCCCACATCAGAAAGAGACAATCTACATTCTTTGGTCATATCATGAAAAGGAGAAAACTGGTTTACATCGTGACAGTAGGAAAGTTGGAGGGGAAGAGAGACTGAGAGAAAAGATGCTGTAAAGTTTGACATCATGGCAAGAAGGATCATCTGTGTCAGAGTTGGTTGAATGTACACGAGACAGAAGGTTGTAGATAGACATGACTACCAATGCCACACGGCATGGACTTTAAGAAGAAGAAGGTCTGTAAAATAAGATCTAGCACTATATGTCCAATAGGCCTAATAGCTTGGAAAAAAGTCCTTTATATTAGTTCTTTTCTAATATTGCACAACTCACCTGCGTTAGACGGCAGGTTATTTTGTAAACATAGGGTGCCCCCAGAAGGAATTTTGATATGGTCGAACAGGGTTTTCTGGACTTTAACTGGCTGAACTTCCTGTGTAAGCTCCAGGTCTTTTTTTTTACGAACAGAAAATAAACCCGTCGCTGCCCTAACAAGCATGTCGTAGGGTTGAAGTTGGCACAACTGACTGAGAAGCAAGGAACCATCATTGTGCATACAAATAAGCCAGATCTGTAAAATGAATGTGCAAACAAAATTTCAAGTTCCGGATCCAGACCAAAGACCAGAAGCGGACAACCAGAACTTTCCGCTGGTGTGCGCTAAGAAGAAGAAAAAGAAGAAGAAGATAAGATTGAGCAGGGTTTCTGGGACTTGTATCTGTTGGACTTGCATCTAAATAGTGACTTCTTTTTTTGTCATTGGGTGTCAGTCTTTCTGTCTACAATCCTAGAGTGCTGTATGGGTTTCAGAGTCTTATTTTTTAGGAAGAAATCGACCGTCTGCTCTGTATAAGGTGACTAATTAAAGATATAATGAAATCAGAAGTGTTGTGCATAAAAGGGACAAATATCACAGCCTAGATGTAAACCACAACATGCCAACTGCCCATTTAGGGGTGAACTCAGTAGAAGAAATCTCATGTGTTACACGTAGATTACAATTTTGTTAGCTGATCTATATACACACTTGATTGACTGTACACATGCGCCTGTTCTTTTTATCAAGGGAATGGTGAAGTACTGCAAAGGAGTCTTGCCCCAGATAGCCACTTCAGGTGTTGTGGTTGGGTTTGATGGACGGCACAATAGCCATAGGTGAGCTTTTCTGACCTTTTTATTTAGGTTTATTAAAAATTTTAGTGACATTTAAAATGGCAAATTTCTATCAGAATTAGAATACTGTTTTGTCGGCGTCTGTGGCTTAGGCATTGCGAACTTCATAATGCCGGAATGCCATGTTCGATCTCAGCTGTGGACGAGTTGTCTTGCGATGGTTCGACAGTGGTACCAACAGCTGACCATTCAGCAAACGATGGCAAACTACTGAAAGCAAAATTTGCCTAGGAAAACCACAACAGCCCTAAAAAATGCAGAGAGTTTGTTTTGCAACGTTCTCTAAAGGATACGCAACTAACTACAAATTAAAGACTGTACAACAAATATTGAGGAGAGAAATAAGAGCCAGCGAGAGTATTTTCGCCCTGGTGGCTCATCAGACATTTGATGCTAATTGTTTTGGCCAACTGGCACTCAGTGATGATGTGGTCAACATCTCGCCAGCCATCTTTACTTCCAAGAACATGTCCTTCTACCCATAATAGGCTGGTTCTACCTCGGAGCAGAGACTTTTTATTTTTATTTTTCAAAATCCGCCAGGTGCGGATTTACACTCTAGACCAGTGGATTTCAACCCTTTTCATGTCCACCCACCCCACACCTGTCGCCCCAAATATTCGTCAAAACTCCCACCCCACCCCCTTTTTTTTTCTTTCTTTCAAGCTTTAAATAAATGTGATTAAAGAGAGGTGTACAAATTGCTCATGAAAACAAAATGTCTTTGGTTTTTTGTTTTATAATGTTCAAAATATTGTGTGTATAACTGATTATTAGAAGTAAAAATGCAGTAAGATTCAAAATTGCTTGCTGTCCCGCCCCCTTCCACCAGCAGGTAGGTGACCATATATTCACGATTCCACCGCAGTCTCGGGAACCACTGGATTAGACTATAGACAGGAAACATATCAAACCGAACAGAAAGTAGATCAGCGAGCTTCACAGTATAACAAACAAAAAAGAAATGTGAACATTGCGACTATCGAGCCTTTATCAGCACATGCATAAATCAAACAAAACCACATGAACACACAAAATCACTTAACTAACGTATCCCGAAGCAGCCACGTTGATGTCTTGCCAGTGAAAATAGACAGGCTGTCTCATAAGTTTCAAAATCAGATTGGCACCTTAGACAACAGAACATGTCCTCCAAGACTGTCCCAAATACAACATATCAAGGCAAAACTTTTGGCCAAGAGAAACACCGGTGCAAGTCAAACTTAACGGGTCGTTCTGAGTGAATTACAAAAGAGAGTGAAGTTCATACTAGAGACAACATTGCAGATATAGATAATTTATTTCAAGCGACCGAAAGATGAAGATAAGTTTCCATGCATAGGGGAAATCCTGTTCTTTTGAAAACACATGTTGATGCATGTCCTCCAATGATGCAAGGAAATTAGCTTATAAAACAAAAAATGTTAGCTTTGATTTCTGGGTACTTAATTTATAACTTACCCCTGACGTCACGACAACGTCACGGGAGACATTCCCAATAAATTCTAGGGTGTTCAGGTTGTAGTTTCGCGCAATTTATCTACAGCCAAGTTTAGGGTTAGGGTTAGCATTAGAAGACACTAGATGAACACTCAAAAAAAGCACCACACAACAGCACACTTCCACCCCTTGAAATAATGGACTGTCAGGTCAGCTGTGGATTTCCCACGGGGATTTCGTGTTTGGGGTACGTTATAAATTAAGAACCGATTTCTGACGTCTTCTCATAAGAACTAAAAAAAAAAGTTTTCATTGAGCAGCGTATTTTGTTTTCTTGTTTTTTGTTTTGATTTACTCTGAAAATTAATTTATGTATTTTTGTTCTGTCTTTTCCATATAGGTGGGCTAAGATTGTATCCACTGTTTTTGTGAATGCAGGAATACCTGTTTATTTATTTTCCAAGATGTGTCCAACTCCATATGTGGTATGTGATGATGTCATGATGTTCTGTGTCATAATTTTATTTATATGTCTTTTTTTCAGGCTTGTGGTAGGTAAACAATAAAATCATGTATTAATCTTAGACTTACATGGGGAGATGTACAGTATAACGAGGTGATTTATATATTTCTTCTTGTTTTTCTTCTTGCTCACTTTTTTTTAATTTCTTACTTACTTAGTGCTCCTCTTCTGACTTGGGGTGTAAACATTTGCCATAGAGATTGCCAGACTTCTCTATCAGCACTCTTTCTGGCTGTCTTCCATTTCAGTACTCTGTCAGGGACTGTAGGATGTTGTCTTCCCAGCAGATCCTGGGTCGCCCTGGAGGTCTGGTTCCCTGGCTTTTAGCCTTCCATGCCTGCCATGGTGGCCAATTTTCTCCCATTCTGCATACATGTCCAAACCATTGTAACCATGATTGATCTACTCAAGTTTGAAAGGCCCGGATTTCAAGATCTTGATGTATTATCTGATTGCAAACTTTGTCCCTTCTTGTCACTTGGACCACCTTTCTTGGATATCTCATTTCCGAGGCCTGCAGCTGGCTTCTGTGAACTGTTGTCATTGCCCATGACTCACACCCATAGGTCAGGACTGACACATAGGACAAGCCGTAAACAGCCATTTTAGTCCTCTTGCCAATTTCTCTTAGGCTAAGAAACCCTCAATTTATGGCAAGGAAAAGTCTTCCAGCAGCTGCTTTTCGAGTAACCAGCTCTATCTTAATGCCTCCATTCCGGTCTAATATAGTTAGTTAGTCTTTCCTCTTGTGTCAAGTGCGGCACATAGGGCAGAGGTCATGACTCTCCATGCATGGCGGTTCGTTGCAATCTGTTGTAGGTCTTGGATGTTTGAGTGGCCCATGAGTGAGCCTTCCCTGATGATAGTTCTAGGTAGGGTTTCTCTTGGTCTTCCACGAGATCTTTTCCCCTGTGGTGTCCAAATGAGGGCTTGGTAAGGAAGTCTTGATTTATCCATTCTAAGGGCGTGGCCGACATAGTTCCAGCGGCGTTTTCGTATAAAATTAGTCTAATATAACTCCAAGGTATTTAAACTGGTTGATCTGCTCCAGTGCATAGTGTCTCATCATGGTATGATGTTTTTTTCTCCTCTCTTGAGATCACCATGGTTTTAGTTTTGGAGATACTGATGGTCATTCCTTTCTTTTCAATCTCTTCCTTCCAGATCAGTAAGTTGGATTGAAGATGTGCCTCTAATTTAGCTATCAGGGCACTTATCATCTGATGTTAGCTCTGATATACAGATTGGTCTCATCTTCCAGTATCCTACTACTTCTTTGTCTTCTCTTGGTCTTGATGACATCATCCATCATAAGAATGAAGAGGTAAGGGGGTAAAGTGAGAGGATATCACCTTGTCTAACACCGCTAGTGGTCTTAAATTCTTCTGACTTTTGGTCTACTGTTCTTACATAATTTCTGCAGCTTTTGTAGAAACTGTATTGCACTGACCAGGGGCGCTGAATTGTTTTTCCCTGGCAAGCAGTCCCAGAGTTTGTTTAAGAGAACATTATCAAATGCCTTTTCTAGACCCCACCCCCCCCCCCTCCCACCCCATCCCCACACCCAAAAAACATAACTGCTTCTCAATCTTCAATTATAGGGCTTTTTAGCTCATCTGCCTGAGTGTGAAGATAAGGTCTTGAGCATTGGGCCTGATCCAGCTGAGGTTCTTTCAGACTTCTAAGTCTCTGTTTGAGAATTACAGAGTAACTTTTACCAGGAACGCTGAGGAGAGATTTACCTCTGTGGTTTTCACATTGTCTGTTATCACCCTTTTTAAATATAGGTATAATGATGGCATTCTCATAATCTTTTGGTATAGTTTAACTACACGAGGCTGCCTGGAGAACCTTCAGGAGAAGTCGATCACCTGCAGCCCCCACATTTTTTACCATCATGTCCTGCTTTCCCCAGCTTTATCTTCTCAATAGCTGCATTCAGTTCTTCCATCCTGATGTTATCGTCCCCATGGATGATTTCCTTTTCCGTCATGAGGTCCGTTATTTCTGGGACATGACTTTCCTCAACACTGAGAAGCTATGAGAAGTATTCTTTCTACTTCTCTTTCACCGGCTGTAAACTCTCGGCTTGAAGGTTCTGGTTGTTTGCCCACCTCTTGTTCCTGAACTTGAATTTTTTATGCACATCTGTTTAATCTTCCATCCTGTTATCATTCCACAACACCGAGAAGCTCTGAGAAGTATTCTTTTACTCTGCTTTCACTGGCTGTAAACTCTGGCCTGAATCACCCGTCTTAGTTCCGGGGCCCCACTGTGGGGAAAACAAGAATAGACCTGCCTCCCCAACAAGCGTGTTGTAAGAGTCAACTAACAACTTGGGACTTCCTTCAAGGTCCCATTGCATCTGCCTGAGAGGCAAGAAACCAACATTCTGCATACAAATAAGTCATATACATAAAATGGGTGTACAAGCAGCACTCAGGTTCTGGAACAAGACTGAAGTCCAGAAATGGATGAACAACAGAACTTTCTTCTTGTGCCCAATAATATGTCTGTAACTTTTTCAGTCCTAAGCAACACCAGATGTATGAATGAAATAGCCCTTGATTTCCTTTCACTACATAATGTGCTGTTTTAAGTTTTGGTCAGAACATACTAAAGAAATTTTGGCTCCTCAGTGGTCACTGCTGTTGTGTACATTGCCACTTTGAAAGTAAAGCATTCATGATTATTTTTTCACTTGGCATCTCCTGTGAAATCTTTTGACACTTAAAGAGTTAAATAAACAGTTTCCTCAGACCACCATGACGACACTGAGTTTCACAATATGTTGTAGTCTCATTCTCTTGTCATTTTGTCATGTTTATTCTCCCTTGAGAGCCTTAATAAGTTTTGTTTTTCTTCTTCAGAAATGACCTTGGCTCCTAGGTTGACCTAGCCTTAACTCTTTGAGTCCCAGGGGGTTTAGCATCACAGGCCCAGAGGGTAGTAAAGAAAGTAATATAATCGGCTCATTTTGCGTTCATTGGGCTTTTAGGTAGGAACCTATGAACGTATGATGCATTCCTTGGGACTCAAAGAGTTAAATGGGTGCCATGTAAAGTCCTGAGAAGTATCGATGGCCAGTGGGATGCTGACTACATCATCCACCGAATGCCGATTGGTCTATAAAACATAGTTCTAGTCTTTTTACCCAATACGCCTGAAGGCATGGGAAAAGGTCTTTTACTTTAGTTTATTGTCCCTGGAACATTCAGAAGTAATTCAGAGCTGGTTTCCGTTTTCAGGCATTCAGCATTCGGTCTTTGAAAGCTGCATGTGGGATCATGGTTACAGCCAGCCACAACCCAAAAGATGACAATGGATATAAAGTAAGTCTTTTTTATTATCATTATTATCACCATATTTATTGTCTACCCCCTTGCCTAGAAAGCTCTTTATTAAAAAAGAAAATCGGCCATGACCTCGGAGTTCCTGAAAAATCCTTTAAAAAAATTAATTTTACACAGGTCACTAATAAATTCATTAAACATTTATGTATCTACTTTTTAACTATTGTTTTTTAGTAAACATGTATATGAAGAGAGTAATCAATAAACATGAACAGGGGAAGCATTAAATGAAAAATATTTAATGAAGCCTTTAAAAATATGTAAAAGATTATTAATGCTGTGGCTTCGCAACCTCTATCATTGAGACTTACAGGAAAATGTGATGCCAACTTGACTTTAAAAAAAAAAGATATTTGGCTCAAAAAAAACCCTCTAATTGCTGTTTTTAGTTAATGTATTCATATGCTGACCTAAATGTTTGCGCAGGCGTGGAAACAGCCAGTAGCATTAACTATCCAGCTCGTAAACAGGTCACCATTGGCAAGTCAGAAAAGTGACTTTTACAGTGAATTGGACCCAAAGTGTTGGTTTTGCGGCTTTTAAGGGGGAAAGGGTAAAGCTTACTCAATAGCATGACGCAGTCACCTCCGCTGGTTCCCTTTCACTTTTTTAACCAGGTGCTAAATCTTAATTTATCATCATCGTCTTTCAGTAGCACGTCTTTATTAAAGTCGCTGTCAGCAGAGTCCACCAGAAAAATTCTCAGTCCGTCACAGTTCACCTTTCTCCTGCATTTTCATGTCCACTTTGTTTTTAACTCTTTCAGTCCTTGATAGTTGTTATTTTGACTCATTCTTCTTCTTCTTCTTCTTCTTCTTCTTCTTCTTCTTCTTCTTCTTCTTAATGTTAACTGGCGTAAACTTTGGCGGAAAGTTCTGGTTCTTCCTCCACTTCTGGACCTTAGTCTTGTTTCAGAACTTTGGGTTCACTTGCACATGTGTTTCACAGATCTTGTTTATTTGTATACAGACTGTTGGTTCCATACCTTCAGGCAGATGCACTCGGGTTTCGAAGGAAACATATCTAATTAGTCACCTTGGTGTGTGTGTGTGTGTGTGGGGGGGGGGGATAGTGGGTCTATACTCCACCCCACCCTACTCCCACAATGGGGCCCCAAACCCACACTGGAGTTAATATAACAACTGGATAAGGCTCTTGAATTTAATGAAAGCATATCATTTCAAAGAGTAATCAGTAAACACATGATGAGTTGCTTTATTTTTTGAATAAGTTTGTTTCCTGTATGGACAGTCATTTTGCTAACCCCTGCCTATTTTTGCCATGAGCCTTACCTTCACTTTTTACTGTTTCTAAACCATTGTGATGTTCATAACAGCTAAAGTATTTTAGTTTCCAAGACATTGTTCACTTAAAGATCATCTACATCGGACATGACCATAGGTGCTCGGTTCTCCTCCTGAGTATGTCTATAAGTGTTTTTAGTCTAATAACTCCCATTTTGTTGTGGCTGATGTAACGACGGGTGGTTCCCGCATGGTTTTCCTGTCTCGCTACGCCAATTGGTACATACACCCAGGGTATGTAGTCTGTTCAGTGAGAATTTTTTTCCCACGAAACTCAAAACCTCACAGCATTTAGTCTTTTGTATGGCATTGATGGTGTCTCTCCTCTCCAAAGATGGCCCATTTCTGATAGTCACACTGCCAGCCAGGGTGTCTGCTCTCTCATTGCCTTTCACACCAGCATGCCCGGGGACAAAAACGAAGATGATTTTGCAAAATGCTGAACGCTGTATCACATGGAGTGACTGTTTCCACAAATGCCCCACCTTGGTCTTCTTGTAGCATGCTCATTGAGTCGCTGAGAAAGCATGCATTGGTTTGACACCAATCTGCTATGTATCTAAGACATAATGCTGTTTATGAGTCATTTTTTCTTTGAAATTAACTCTATTTGTGTTGAGCTGAGTTAAAAACTGACATCTTAGCACTCGAGACACGGGACATTTTCCATTAGCACTCCATCCCCATCTTTAGCAGCCAGTGTAGAGTTCTGATTCTATGGTACCAGTAGTCTGTGTGTCTATTTTGCCTTTAAATTAATTGTAATTATAGTTATTAAATTGATAACTGTCTTAATTGCTTACTGCATTTATTTGTTTTTCTTTTTTTTTTCTGTCCAGGTATATTGGAGCAATGGAGCTCAGGTAATAAATGATTAATGTATGTTTTTGACAGTTTTGTTTTTATTCCATATTGTTATTTTCTCCTTCTCCTCCTCCTCTTCTTCTTCTTCTTCTCCTTCTTCTTCTTCTCCTTCTTCTTCTTCTTCTTCTTCTTTTTCTTCTTGTTACATCTCCTCCTCTTCTTCTTCTTTTGCTTCTACTGCCATACTCATTCTCTCTTTCTTCTGTTTCTTATCATCTTCTTCTTCCTTTTATATCTCCATCCTTATCTCATGTTCTTGCTCATCCTCATCTTTTCTTCTTCAAGTTCCACTTTGACTGGCACAGAGCTTTCTTATCATGGTCAACAGCTTCTTTCTGTGTCTCACAAGTATCTAGGTATTTGCATTTTTTTTTCTTTTTTTTTTTACTTACCCCAGACGGGCTTTAAATGTAAGGAAAGAAATCAAGTAAAAATGTTTTTTTGGTATTAGCATTCATGGTATGGAAATCAGACGAATGCTAGGAATAAAGCCAGCCTTACAGGTCATCAAAGAACAACAAATGAAGTGGTTCGGACATCTGACAAGAATGCCCTGGTACTATCCGCCATGGCGAGTCACACTAAAACGTTACAATGGGTATAGAGCGAGTGGAAGACCTCGAAAAAGATGGAGTGATGGCATTAAGAAGAGCCTTACAGAAAATGAACATCAGTCTTAATAGTGCTCTTGACAGAGCTCATCAACGAATGTTACATCTCCCCCCCGACACTTCGATGAGGTACAAGGTGGAAGAGAAGAAAAAGAAGAAGAATTATGGTATGGGGACTCACTTGGTAGACACAGATTTATAGTTTTTTAGGGCATAGCATTTACATTTTTTTACTGATATGCTGCTTGACCTATAAGGAAGGCAAAAAATCTTTATTTTATGGTCTCTGCCGCATGGCGTTGGTAGTTATATCTATCTACAACATTCTGTATTGTGTACTTTCAGTCATTTATAACAAAGTTGATCTTCCGTGCCGTGATGTCAAATTTTCCACATCTTCTCTCTTGGTCTTCTAAGACCAACTTATCTTGGTCCAACTTTCCCACCGTCACAATGTACTGCAGTTTTCTCCTTCTAATGACATGACCAAAAAATGTAGATTGTGTACTTCTGATGTGCATAACCAGTTCACTTCTTATGAGTTAGTTTCTCTCAATTTCATTCACGTGCCATCTCCACATTGAAGATTGGCTGCAGTAGATCTCCAGTGCTCTGTCTCTTGTTTTGGTAGTACACTCTCTTAGATTGCTGGTTGTCCATCTCTTCCTGCTTTCCTCCCACTCATATCATTGTCTACCTTTTGCTCTCATGCCTTCAGGTCTTTGATGTGTCCTCTAGGAACAACATTTGTGGATCAGGGAATGATAAAGTCACCACACAAATGAGGCTGCTAATGTTCCACAAAACTAACTTGTGTAAGGTTAACCGAATAACAAATGCCTGAAGAAGTTGGATGCCTCTGCCCCAAAACATGCAAATATCGCAGCTGTGCTGTAAACAAGCACAATGCATTTACATCCACTCTTTCCGGGTTTTTAATGCGGGTTAGGATCACAGACATGGTAATGATAAGTTTTGGGGGAATGGGTTGTGAGCCCCTTTAGGGCTGAAAGGGTGATTTTTGGTTGATTTTAACCCAAGTTGGGCTAATTTTTCCCGATTCATTTTTTTGGCTTTCTTTGCCTTTTTTGATTTTTTTCATTCTCATATTTTTTGCCTTGAAAACCGGGGGACGTGGGGTCATTCTGCCCGGGGTGGAAAAAATTCCATTTCAGTCTTTTTTTTTAAAGGGAAAATTTTAATTTTCCCAAGTGTTTTTCCCCACCATTTTAATGATATTTTAACCCTTTGTTTTGGTTTTCTTCTTTTTAAAGTTTAAATCCCTTTTCCCAAGACATCTCATTTCACACGCAAAGTTTCTGCTCTTTTTAAATTTTTTTTTAACTTAACAGTAGATTGAAAATGTATTTTTGGGGTTTTTTTTTGCCACTTTGCGGGGTTACATGGGTTGCTTTAAACAAAAACTGAATCCCCAAAAATTTTGCGGGAAATACACGGCCCACATTTTTTGGTTTTTTGTTTTCCCTTCTTTGGTTTTTTTTTTTTTAAACTGAAAAATATGTTTTTACAGTTTCCCAAGGGAAAAGGATTATCGGGCATATTAGGTTTTTTTTCTTCATTTTTCAGTGTTTTATTACACACTAAAAATGCTCCCAGAGAGATTTTTAAAAATTTCCCCTTGGGCCCAAAAAAAAAAAAAGAAATTTTAAAAACCCCTAAAAGATCAAATATCAAGAAAAATTTGGTTTTGGAAAACAGCATTTTTGCCCGGGGGAAACTGAAATATTTTGGTATATAAAAGGTGGCAAAATGCCTTAATGGGAATAGTAGCACCCCCGGGGTTGGGGAATGGGCCCTATCACAAAGCACCCCACCTTGGAACTTCCTAATCCACTCACCCTTTTTTGGCCCCTAACAGCCAAATCACCATACAGGATCTTAAATTTTTCAAGGAATTTTGTGGTGGGGGTTTCCCCGACCCACTGTTTTTTTTTTTAAAGGGGGATAAAACAAAAAAACTGCCCCCTTTTTGTTGTTTATCAGATGGGGGTTTACCCCATTTAAACTTTTTTATGACGCCCATATTTGTCTGCCCCGTGATTTAAGTGCTAACACTTGACCCCCTTAACAAAAATATTGGACATTTTAAAAGGGACAATTTTTTTGGTTATTGTAATTTGAAATCACACTTTAAAAGGGGTTTTTTTTTGGGAACCCCCCCTTTTGGGGACTTTTGTGTGTGTGCATGTACATGCATGTCTTTGTTGTGTGAAAAAATTGGTTTTAAAACAGGAACCCTGCGGCAGCCCCCAACATAATTTTTGTGTGTTCCCAGAGGGGGGAAAAACAAAGAGTCACCAGTGAAAGTTTACTTTCCCACAGCCATCCCGGGGATTTGGCTATGATTTTTTTCAAGCTTTTAATGGGGGAAATTTGGGGATTTAAAGATTCCCCACGTACCACAGAAAAGGTGAGGGCCCCCCAGAGTCTGTTTTTGGGGGCATTTTGGTCTATATTTAGTCTTCTGTTTCCCCCTTATAAAAGGGCTGGATGTTGAAAAGGGGCGGTTTGGGATCGGGGAAAAACCCCGGTTGGGGAGGCAAAAATATAGATTCTTGGTTTTGGAAGGGGAAATGGGGGCACCGGGGGTTTTGGGTTTTAGGGTTTGGGGCCGCCGCTGAAAACTCAGGGAAAGGAGGGGAAAGACCAACATCCCCAATCAGACTTTTTAATTATAAAATGGAAATTTGGGGAAACCAATTTGTGCTTGCCCCTAAAAGAGGTGAGGAGGCTTAGGGGTGTAAAAAGTGCGGGGGGAGGGGCAATTTTCTAAAACCACCCATTCATAAAATAGCCGGGGGAAAGAAAAATACGGGTTTAAAATGGGGGTCCGGGGGAATTTTGGGTTCCCGGGCCAGACAAATCTTTTGGAGGCCCCAAAACCCAAAAAATCCTGGAGGGGGCCTTTTTTTTTTTGGGGGGGGGGGGGGGGGGGGGAAAAAAAAACCTTGAATTTTTTAAAATTTATTGATGCTCCTTTTAAATTTTGCACTGTTTTTTAAACATATCAAACCCTTTTGTTGTGGTTTTTTTTTGCCCCAAAGGCTTCTCCCAAAATGCCCAAGAACCCCTGCTTTAAAAAAACAAGTTTTTTGGGGCATTTTTGGGTTAAAACCCCGTTTTTGGTGTCCAGTGGGGGGGAAAGGGGAAAAGTTTTTTCCCTAATTTGCCCCCCGTTGGGGTTCCATGGGGCCACCCCCTGTAAAAGGCAGGTTTAATTTTAAATGCTTTTTTGGGGTTCAAAGCGCCCTTTGGGTTTAAACCCCAAAGTTTCCCTCCCCCCTTTGGATTCTTTTTTCCTGGCCCCCCGGGCGGGGGGGGTTGCCAGGCAAACCCGCCGGGCTGGATCTAACCACCCGGGTTTGGGGGAAGTCCTTGCCCCCCCGGGGGGGCGGGGCCCCTTTGGGGAAACCAAGCCAAACGGCCCCGTTGGATGAAGTTTATTATACCCTGGAAGGGGAAATTGGGGATAGGGTTTGAAAACCCGAGGGCCCGGGCCGGCCCCCCCCCCCCGAGGGAAAACAAAAAAAAAGCCTGCCCCTTCCCAGGGGTGCCCAACCCTCCCACCCGTATTGGAACTCTGGCTGGCTGCTAAAGATGGGACGGACCCTCCCTAAAAACCCCGCCCCCCCCGGGTGCTTGATGCCCAATTTTTAAACTCCCCCTCAACTCTTTTGTGAAACCCTTCCCGATCTTTTAAATCCCTGCTGTTCCCTTTGAAGGTGCCCTCCCTTTCTGTCCGGCCTTTTTTTGGGAAAAACCTTTGTTTTTCTTTTTTCCCTTCTTTGAAAATTTGGCGTGCTCGGTAAAAAGCCCTTTGGTTTTGGCCCACCCCGGACGGGAGTTTTGAAAGTACATTTTTTTTTAAAGGTTATTTGTGGTTTTCCTTGTGCTGGGCCCGTGTAACCCTTTAAAAGGACGTTCCAATATCGACCAAAAACCCCCCCCGGTTTCCCTCATTGTGGGAAGGGGGAAAAAAGGGGGGGTTGGGGGTTTCCTCCCCTTTTGTTTTTTAAAATTGGGGGGTTTCCAAAGAAACTAAAAAAAGGAGGAAACCCTTTTTTCCCCCCCAGAAAAAGGTTTAAATTTTGCGGCTTTGCTGAAGCCCCCGCCTGTGTAAAGTTTTTTCCCCAAGGGCCCCCCTTTTGGGATTAATGGTGGGTTTCGTGGCCCAGGTTGCCCCGACTGTGGTTTGGGGCCCTTTGAAAAAGGCCCAGGGACAAAAGGAAAAAAAAAATTTGGAAACCAAAAACGGGGGTAAAAAACCCCCCAAAAAACCCCGGGCCCGGGTGCAAAAACCAAAAAAAGGAAGAAAAAAGGTGGAGAGAAAATTTCCGGGGAAAAGACCTGAAAACATTTGGGTCCCCAAAAACTGGAAAGGGGGAAGGCCAACCAGGGGTTTTTGAATGGAGGTGGGTGGATGTTTTTGAAGCAAAAACCCTTTCAAGCTTTAAAATGGAAAAAAGAAGAAAAAGGGGGAAGACAGGGGGGAGAAAACAAGGGAAAGGGTTTGTTACTATGAAGTTGCAAGGCTGTTCCCCAAATTTGACAATTATTAAACACCCTCTCTGTTATCAAAATTCACCCCAGACCCAAGATTTTTTCCAAACAGTAAAGTCCCCCAAAACCCCAGAAAAAGGGGAGGGGGATTGGAAAGCAGGATGTGTTAATTTTTTCTTGTCCTTATACTAGTTCGTTGTATAAAATCACAAACCCCCTTAGAGAGGTGGCTGGACGCTTCCCCGCTGCCCCAAAGGTTTTCGGGTAGAATCAAAAATTCGGGGGGGGTTTTTTTAAAAAAAAAAATAAAAATTTTAATTTGGGCTCCACTTTGCCCCAGCCTAAAATTGGGGTTTAAAGGGGTTTTTTTTAAACCCCCTTTAAGGGGGAAAGAAACCTGGTCAAAAAAAATGTCAACACTAGCCTTTCCAGGGGGATGCAATTTTTTTTTTTGGTTTTAAACCCCCGAACCCTTTTTGCCGGGGGGGACCCCTTAATATACCCGGGCAAAAATAGGGGGGGGGGGGACCTTCCCATAGAAAAGGGCCCCAAAAAAAGGGGAAAGGGGGTTTTTTGGGACCCCCCATGGGTGCCAAATCCCACTTTCAGGGGTGGCATTTTTGGGGCCCCCGGGTTTTCTTGCTGGTGATTTTCTTGGGGGGAAACAAACCTTAAACCCACCAACCCCCCAAAAGGGGCCAACAAGCGGAAGGGGTACAAAAAAATCCCCTGGTGGTAGGGTATGAAATTTAATACTTGCATGCCGAAAAGTTATGATTGTTAAAAGTGTTTGCCAGCAAGTCTTATTAAATCTCTGGTAAACCCAATTCTGGTTAAAAATGTTTTGAAAAAAAGTCAGTTTGGTCAGACCGGAAAGGTGCAAAAAACCCCAAGCTTTGCGGGTGTTTTATAGACCTATCGGCACTTGGTGGCTGATGTAGTCAACATCACACCGGCCATCTTTACTTCCCAGGACTACCTGGTACCCATTTAAGGCTGGGTCAAGCTAGGAGCCGAGATCCTTTTTTTTTTAAAAGTCTGGCTCCATCAGGATTTGAGACCCTGACCTTCTGATCCGCAGACAAGCGTCTGGCCACTACATACAAATTAAATATTACAAGCGAGATTGAAAAAAGAAAAAGAAAACCCATACAGATACAAAACACATTCTGGCTTTTAGTTCTTTCTTCGTCTTCTTCTCTTCCACCTTGTACCTCAGCGAAGTGTCGGGGGGAGATGTAACATTCGTTGATGAGCTCTGTCAAGAGCACTATTAGGACTGATTTTCATTTCTGTAAGGCTGTTCTTAATGCCATCACTCCATATTTTCTGAGGTCTTCCACTTGCTCTATACCCATTGTAACATTTTAGTGTGGCTCGCTGTGGCTTTTAGTTCTTTAAGAGTTATAAAATACCAGTTAGGTGATGAAAAATCACACAGAACGCAGTTGCCACGAAATGCCAAAAAGGACTCAGTGCACTTTAGGTTATTGCAGCAATGGATATGGAACATGGAATGTTGTTCACAATGTTCCAGCATTTGATCCTTTTTGGGGATGGACTTGGAATGCTTACCATATCAAAGAGTCAGCTGATGAAACTTGAAGACATACAGAATAAAGCTATGCGGGTAATTCTTGGATATACAAGAAATACCCCAGAAGTATGTATGCAATATTTACTTGCACTACTAACAATTACAGATAGGCTGAAAGTGCTGCCAGTAAAGCCATATATTAGAGTAGCTTCAGACAAGAAGCACCTCCTGCATGAAGCACCTCCTGCATGAAGCCCTGGATAGAGCTAACGGTCACAGACTGAAAAGAGGAAGGTCTTGGCTGGGGCAAGCTGAAGATACAATTAGACATGTGTGTGGGCTTCAAAACATTGGGCGAGGAGAGGGGCGGGGCGGAATGTCCCAGCAAAAGTCAGACTTTTGTAGGGTTCTGATTACATGGGACAGTGAATGCAGGTACTGGCCAGCGGGCCCTGCAGAATCAGAAGTTCAACAGATTAATGACAGTTCTCGCCCAGGTGATGTGATAATCTATACATATGGCTAAAATCTATACATATGGCTCTGTGTTGAGAGGCAGGCGAAGCTCATGGGGGTTCTTAGCAGAAGTGAATGGACGTCGCTTAGTGCAGCAAATCCTGGCATATGACACCACAACATCTCGTTTGAGAATGGAGGTGGAGGCAGTCCCTGCGCCTTCCGCTATCTTGAGAATCAGCTGTACACACATGCCGTAACTGTAACACTCACAGGGCATATTGTGAAAGGTGGAGACCAGTACACTCCGTGAAGAGTGGCAGACATTGTTTCAGAGGTCACGGGTAGTTAGCGTGCTTTGAATATTTCCCCCCAGATGTTGTAAGGGCCCTATGGGGGTGAGTGGACAGTGTGGAAGCACAGATGGATCATCATGGCCTGAACAAGAGTGACCAGGGGATCTGGTTGACGATTAGCACCAATGTAAAGGTGAGACGGATATCCAATGAGACTGCTATTGGTACTATTGGAATTGGAAACTCTGCACTTGCTGCTGAAGATGGGGATTGAGCACTTATGGGAATGTCCTGAGTGCTGTGATGTTGATTCTCAATTAAACATTAAATAACACAGAAATAGATAGGTGATGATTGGTGCCTTTTATGACATACTTCTGTGTCGGAGAGAAAAGAATGTTTTTGACATGTGGCCAACATTTAGCCTGTTCTTGCCCCCCCCACCACCCACTCTCCACCCCCTTTCCTTGTGTCTTTCTCTCCTCCCTTCCCATCTCTGTCTCTTTTCCTCTCCTCCCTCTCTCTTCTGCTTCTGTCTCTCTCTCTTCCTCTCTGTGAATGCATGACTGTGTGTAAATGTTTATACATAAACACATACTTTTCTCTTGTAGAAACTTTCTATGCAAACGGCCGACAAGTTTGGCAGTAAAATCATTCTAGCAAATGATCCTGATGCAGATCGGTTGGCAGTTGCGGAAAGGACTGAAAGGTTAGTGAACTCATTCTATACCAGGCAACTTCCTTTGTGTGGATCAGTTCTTCATATATAGCATATACAGCATATTCAGTTCTCTTTACTCTCTAAATTCCAGATACTACTTTTTTTAATCCTCATCATCATCAATTTCCACTATTACTGTTAAGCGTCAAGGAAAGGAAAAGTTTGCGATCCATTGCTTGATAGGCTACAATGGCTATTTTTTTTCAAAATTGGGCCTGGAACCCACCCAGGGCTTCTGTGTTATAACTGGAATATAAATATTTCTTTCCTATTTTAAAGCTTGTTTGATGGCTCTTGTTCTGTTTCTCCACATGATGAATGCTAATGCATGTGTTTGTTGTTTCAGTGGGTGGCGTGTTTTCACTGGAAATGAGATTGGGGCTCTTCTAGGGTGGTGGTGCTGGACAACCTGGAGACAGAAGCATCCATCTGCTGATGGTAAGTTTCATACAAGGTGTCCCATAAGTTTCCATACACGGGAAAAATAAACTGAATCACCAAGGCCATTACAAGCATAACTCCAGCTGACTGACTGACACTTTCTACCCCACCAGGACATCACACAAGCGATAAACACCCGATGACACAATGTGCCACCATGTGGATGAGGATCACCGTGAAGAGGTCCCAGAAACCGCGTTCATCCTTTAGGCCATATTTATGGCCTGGCTTTATTGCGGCCCCCGGCAAGAGCCAGGGTGGGGCTTCAAATAACGAAAAAATTCATCCTAAAAAGGACAGTGAATGAATTGGATATAACTAACTCCAGCTGTGCTTATACAGGTTCTTCAGCAGTGAAACTATTTTTATGAAATATGAAAAACATTTTTATTTGTATAATTGGCTTCTGGCCAAGAGAGACATTGGTGGAAGCCAAACTTTACGGGCCCGTAAGTAAATTACAAAAGACAGTGAAGTTCGTACTAGAGACAGCATTGCAGATAATAGATAATTTATTTCAGGCGAATAAAAGAAGAAAAAGAGAATTTGGTTAGGTTCACGTTAGTCTCCCCATATTGAGTAGGTCACTTTTCATTCACAAGTCTGTTGGGCTGGTCGACTTTCCTGAAGATTACGGATGTGCCCTGCTTTGTTGTTTGCTTTCTGCGATGTCTTGCATTTACATTTTCATTCCGAGAAAGAGAATGCCTGTGACATAGGTTGCAGCACTCTCGGGGTGAGGGAGGGTGTTGGGCCCAGTTTCTCCATGTTTTTGGAGTGTTAAAAGCGCTGGCATGCTGAAATATACAACACACAATATCAGAGGCATTGCAGAACACCCCTGTAACCTTGTGACAGGTTCAGGAACTACCAATCAGAAGTTAGCTAGTGTGTATATGGGTGGGCCCTGGGGAGACTAATGTTTTTTACCGAGAATTTATACAATATGCTCTACATTGACTCCCATTGTTTTGAAAACACATTTTAATGAATGTCCTCCATGCTGAAGAAAACATAAAACACAGCTGGAGTTATGCTTGTAATGCCATTGGTGACATGATTATTTTCCCTGTGTATGGAAACTTTTGGGACACCCTGTATTGTTGTTGTTGGGATTGATATTTCTTGTTCTTCTTCATGCCTACATTTAGAAAGAAAAGCAGTTGACACATTGTCTTGTGGTTTACCGATAGACTGCAGTATTAGTGCCTTTCAGCCAAACACATCCAATTTCAGCAACCATTAATTAGTCACCTTTTGTGGCAATAGGGACAAATGCAGGCGAAGAAGAAGACGGTCAAGTTTTATAAGTTTCGCCTGATTGTGGTTTTGAGCTTCTGACAACTGGCTAGCTACCTCACTTCCTTAGTAGTCTGCTGTATGAAACTAGATTCAGTCATGTTATCAGCAGTTAATAACCAGCATTTCTCTACCCACTTGTCTTCCATTTACTCTTTTTCCCATCAGTTTTGCCTGTTGTCACTAGGTTTTCTAGTTTATTTCTTCTTGTAACTGTTTTAAAAAAAATTCAGCAAAGAAGACACAGACAAAAGATTGCACAATAAGTTGCCTAGCATATTTCGATGTGTATCATCAGGTGCATATAACAGTAACATTTGATTACAGTGAAGCAAATAAATTAATATTTCTAAATGATATGAAAATGACATCAAAAATAATTTCCTGTTTTGCCAGGGCTAACAAAGGTTCACAGCTATGTCTTTTTGTCTGCACAAATCTAGACAAAAGCAATTTATTTAACTATGCATATCTAGTTTATTTAATAATTTTACAGTCTTCATACATTTCTGGGAGAGCTACCTCATTGTTTCTGTCTGTTAAATCCTTTTCCTTTTTCTAGAGAATTCACAACCAATCAGCCATCAAATCCTCCTTTGTTGTAATCATGTCAAAAAATAGGTGTCAGATTCTGTAGTTTAGGAATTCTAAGTACAGTTTGTAATTCTGAAATATTCTGTTTAGTTATCTCCTTCATTCAATTTGTCAGGAGACCACTTTGCATCAGCTTTGACAGTGGGATGGAAGACCAACCATTCAGATGCAGTGGCCAACTACTGAATGTAAAATTGCCTAGTGCATCCACAAATGTCAACAACTTCTTGAGTTGATAGTATCTTCCTGCAGAATGCATCATCTTCTTCTTTTGTCGTTTCACTGATACCAGATTGTAGCCCAGTGTCCTGGTTTTCTGAATTTCTCTTGCGCTTCTCAGATGGCTTGTGTGATGGAGTTGTTCATCTTTTTGCAGATTTCAGCTACACCATTTATCCATCTCTTTCTTGGTCTTCCCCTTGCCTTCCTCCTAGATGTTCTGCTGCACAAAATCTCCTATGCAGTTTGATCTAGCTGCATTCTCACTGTATGGCTGAACCATTTTATTCTTTGTTTGTCAATATAATTCATACATGGTCTTATTCCAACTTTCTCTCTAATGTTGGTATTCATAATATGAATCTAACTTTTTAAAATGGTGTTTTAAATGTGTTTAAATTTCTTAATCTGCTCGTGTTACAGTCAGCGATGCAAACATGATGAGTAGTACTGTGTCATCAAAGATCTTAGAGGCTCTGGCCAAGAAAGAGGGTTTCAAGTTTATTGTAAGTAAAGAACGGTTTTAAATCATAGATATATATGATTCTTTCAGCACAAGAGTTAGTTTACTCAACCCACCTACACTGGACCACAGATTACTTTGTAACCATTTGGTGGTGCTCCAGTATAACTGCGCTGTGGGACTGCATGGTTAAACTGTTTCTGGGATGTGTGCCTGTTTGATTCTCATCTTTATGATGTTAATCCTACAGAGTGGAAGAAAGGGAGGGGTTGCTATTAAAAAATAAATACAGATCAAAAGTGAATGTGTTTTTTAAATACAGATCAAGAGTGAATGTGTTTTATGCTTGTTAAAGGTAAATATTGGCTGTAAAACCTATAAATGTGATTCTTTTAAGATCAAGAGTTAATGTGTTTTATGCTTGAGTGGGTAACTGATGCTCCCAGCCCTAAATCTTCCTGATCCATACACTCGTTCCTACCCTGCCATAAGTGGTAAATATCGGCAGAAAAGACTTGTTTTAAAGTCGAGGTATACTAACAACATACATTGAAAGTTTAAAAATGACCATTTAAAAGGTGTCAACTACAGAGAGGTAAAGAGTAGAATGTTGAATTAAGAATCGACATCACAGCGAAGAGTTAAAATTCCTATCGTACCAGTAACTGTCTGATTGTATATCCGTCTCACCTTTCCCCTGAGTATCGAGTGTCGGCCAGATCGCCTTGTAACTCGTCGTAGTGCCATTCTCCCCAGATCGTAATGATTTATCTGTGCCTCGGCACGTTTCACTCGCTCCTAAAGGGCCCTAACAACATCCAGCTTATCATACATCAGTTCACCACCAAGTGGTGCAGAACCGGCTAGTCTATCTGCCTGCTCATTTCTCAACATACCGGCATGACCTGGAGAAAAAATTCAAAAAAATGCTAACCAGCCGGGACCTTTGAAGTTATGCTTGCCACTCTGCACGGAGCATGCCTGTCTCCACCTAAAGATAAAGAGTATTGAAGTGCTATTTAGAACGTGTACTGCTTGCTGTATATTTGTGAAACATGGACAACAAACCCTGAAAGGTAAGTTGATGAGAGAAAGCGGAGGTGCTTGACTGGATTCCGTCAATGTTATCATAAGGATTGCACAAGATAAAGGAGAAGAACGACACTGTGAGCCCTGTGTGAAGTATTATGGCTTGACAGGATGGTGAGGATGAGGATGGACAATAGGCAGACAAGCTAAGAAAATATCTAATGGCAGCAAAAATATTTGTGAAGATAAAAAAAGTTAGTTGCGTATCCTTTACAGGACGTTGCAGAACCAACCCTAACAGCCCCTGGCTGTTGTGTGGTTTCTCTAGGCAATATACGTCCAGTAGTTTGCCATTGCTTTCTGGACGGTCGGCTTTCTTGATACCGCTGTCGAAACCAACGCAAGGCGCAGTGCCCGCAGCTGGGATCGAACCTGGCATCCCGGCATTACGAAGCGAAGCGTTCGCATCGACTTAGCCACAGAGCCGACCTTGTGAAGATAATGCATTGAATACCATGGACAGAGATAACAAATGAGCAGCAAAAACAGATTAAAACTGTATACTGAGAAATTACATGGAGACAGTCAGGGTGTTAGCTTTTTTGGAGATTTTGAGGTTTTTGAACAACGGATCAACATCATGGCACACGGGTGTAACCCATAAGTGCTTCCTTCTTCTTCTGACTCAAGTCTGAGTCCGAAGAAGCTCAGCAAAGTGCACAGGCTCTGTAGGGCCCGCAAGGATCCTGAAATACTTTGGGTAGATTTTAACTCCAAATTTTGCCTGGGCTGCGCCGTTAGGTCACTCTTTTCGATTTCCAACTGCCAAAGGATTTTTTACTTGCGCAACATTGCACACGGGTGTCCGATCTCACTACCCAGAGACCAGGGGGAATTACTAGAAATCCAAGTCCACATGAACAAATCCCAGCCCTTACCGGGGATTGAACCCAGGACCTCCAGCACTCGAGGCAGACACTATGCCTCAAGACCACACAGAGTTTTTGATGAATTGAAAGATGATAGCCTTAGAATCTGACAGCAGGTGGGGGGGGGAGGCGACTGACAAGGGATGCCACAGGCAGAAAGATAGCACACCGGCAGTAACAGAGATTACTTGTGAAAAATTGTGTGTCAGATTTGTTGTTTTCATTATTCTTCATGCTCTGTTTTGTATAATTCTTGCCAGGAGACGTTAACTGGATTCAAGTGGATGGGAAATGAAGCTGACAGGCTTCTCAAGATGAACAAGCATGTCCTGTTTGCTTTTGAAGAGGCCATTGGTAAATATAAACCTTAGGATAGAAGAGGAAAATAGGGGGGGGGGGGGGGGGGGGGGGTTATTATATTGTTATTTTTAAAATGCACTTTGATGCCAATTCTTTTTTAATGAAAAGAGTATAATTTGTGTGAGAGCGTGGTTGAATAGTTAGGATACTGTTCTGTAGTATTTCCAATGCATGTGTTTGTATCCCAAAAATTCCTGGGACCCATTTGGGGAGAACAAAGATTAGATCATCTGCTCTCCTGACAAGCATGTCATAAAAGCCTACTAGAAAGGGTGGCTTCATTCAGAGTCAGAGTGCATCTGCCTAAGAGGCAAGGAACCAGCAGTCTGCATATAAATAAGCTAGATCTGTAAAATGGATGTGCATGGAAAATGCAATGTCTTTCACTGTCCAATTTAGATATTGTGAAAAACATGTAATCCCAAATAAAAATCTTGAAACTCGCACAAGCAAAGTAAAAATTCATAAGACAGTTGTCAAATATGCCAACATTAACAGCCCCACACCAGAACTGCAGCTGACTGTTGGTGCAGATGATCAATCATGTAAGCCAGCATTGCACCCACAAAAGTACACACCATTCTGAGCATAGTAAGCCACCAACCGTTTTAGTGCCGTCTACAACACACCACAGGTTTTAGTGCCGTCTGCAACACACCACAGGTTTAAGTTCTGTCTGCAACACACAACAGGCACTCAGCTCAATGGCTTGACAATGGACCCTTTGAAGTCCTGGTCCAGAATTGGGGAATTTGCATCAAAAAAACCTAGCTGGAAACATAACTTTTCAGAGCGTTAGCAGTCAACAGGCAATCTGCTATTTTGTAAAGGATATGTGACTAACTTCAATTTTTTTTTTTTTTTTTTTTAAACTACAGGGTTCATGTGTGGCTCACAGGTTCTGGATAAGGACGGCATCGTGGCAGCGGCTGTGGTTGCAGAGTTGGCCAGTTATGTGTATTCTTCCTCCAGTTCACTCTCTAAGCAGCTGGAGGTCATTTATGAAACGTCAGTTTCCGTAAACAGTTTTATTGTTGATCGATCATCTGTTTCTCTCAGTTGTCTTTCTCCATAGCTTCCTTTTTTATTATTATTATTATTATTGTCTTGTTTTAAACCTTTTAGACCCGTGAGTGCTAAAACATGGGAGAAAGAAAAAAAAATTTTTATTTACAAAAACTGGCTGACACCCATGACTACAAAATTGTTTTAAAATGTTTTTTCTTCAAAATATGTAAAGGGAGTAATTAGTAAAGAACAGAATGAAGCATTAAATGGAAATTATATGCTACCTAAAATAAATATGTATCAGGTGGCTTATGCTGTGAGCGTGTGATTTCTATCACTGAAATTGTTCAGTCGCCCTGGCATTAAACAAAAAACATTGGATTCACTAGAAAACCTATCTCAAGCTATATTTAGTTAATATATTCACATCCAAGCCTCCTAAACTCTGCATAGGCACACATAGAACCAGCTGCATTTACTTCAATTTTTGAGAACAGGTCACTGCAGTAATGGCAATATATCGGCATTACACTTTTTCTCAACTTTGTAACTACATTTTGGTGTAAATTATGTTTTTCTGTCTTAATTTCCTATATCCTTCCTTTCTCGCCTATCTGTTTATCAAGGAATTTGATGTCTGCTGGCTAATTTCTGTCTGATTGATTCTATTTTCTTCTAAGTGTGGGTGTTTGTAACTCTCTTTACTGAGGAGCAAATATTTTCCTTTTAATGTTGTATTTTTTAAATTTATTTTATAAATTTATTTCAGTTTTTATTGCTTCTTGATGTAAAGTTAGGTAATCATTGACACATAAGTTACAATAACTGTACACACATATACAAAGTACATTTATTAGAGTGGCTTGATCTCTTATGGTTGGTACATAGTGTTGTGGTTTGCAGCTAGGCTGGGTAATCTGCACTTTTTGGCCCCACCCCTACGATTTCAGCTAACTCTGTTTATAACATTCTTGTCAGGTAGCAGTGAGTCTGTCCACTCAAAACCCACAAGGTGATTCTTTATCTTACTTGATGCAGTTAAATCCAGTTGTTTTTTTAACTTGCTTTTTGGCATAAGGTTACATGATCATTGACACAGGAAGTCTCCGTGGTGTAGTGGGTAGACGCTTGCCTGCGTATCGGAAGGTTGTGGGTTCAGGTCATGGTGGAGCCAGACTTTTTTTTTACAGGTCGACCCAGCCTGGACTGGGTACCAGGTGTAGTCCAGCAAAGTAAAGTCAGCCGGCGTGATGCTGACCCCATCACCCACCGAGTGCTGATTGTCTATAAAATATAGGTCTAGCTCAATATGCCCAATACGCCTAAAGGGTCCTTAACTTTTTACTTTTATCATTGCCGCAACTTTCCATATACTAAGCACATCTAGGAGTGACCATAAGAGATAAGATCAGGAATGAGATCATAAGAGAACAAGTCGGCACAGAACCAATTATGGATTACATACAAAGACAGCAAGTGAAATGGTTTGCCCACTTAGAGAGAATGCCTTGTGACACCATACCATACAAAGCATACATGGAAAGAGAAGAAGGACGTAGAGCACGGGGTAGACCAAGAACAAGATTGAAGGATAACATCAGAGAAACTCTTCAACAGCACGATGTGCCTATGGTCGAGGCAGCCAGAAGAGCTAGAAACAGAACCTTATATCTCCCTCGACACCCACAGCGGTAAAAGAGGAAGTGAAGAAGAAGAAGAAGAAGCACATCTAGGCTCACACCAGGTGACTCTTTAAAATATGATGGTTGTCAGACACCTTTTATAGGTGTGACACAAGTACAATTGTTATTTGTGCCAGGTGTACCCACACTTCCATGAACATGTAAACGCTGATGACCTTGTTCCAGTTCTTAAATAATGTTTATTTAAGAAACTCTTGATAACTGCAAAGTTAGTATGTTTATTTAAGAACTCATGATAATTGCAAAGTTAGTATGGCTTCCGCACAACGTTATCGACTACTGAGTAGCCACAGATTTTATTCTTATGGTTCATAAGCACACTAATCTCAGGTAGTCACTGGCTAAATACATCAACAGTACGCTGGTATAGCTGATCACAAACTCATCCTCGCAATATGAACAAAGTCATAAGAGGCTAGCTGATGCCTCTATAGCAATAATTACGTATTCTCCTAACTACTACACTTAACTTTATAATCCGGCTATACAACAGAAACACCTGTCACCAGTATGAATAACCACTACTGTTCTGTTCACAGTTTTAAATCCAGTCCATTCCAAGCGAAAACACAATTCCCACCTTTTAAAAGGGCCCCAAACAAACACATCCGTTCACTGGACTGTCCAACTACTAACTGCCGTGTGTCACTCTACCTGTTTGTCCAGTCCCCGTGTAACCTCCCCACTCAGTTACCTGTTTCGCCGTGCGGGTCTACACACAACCCGTCTGACCAGTAATTGACCTGTCTGCTGTTATGAGTCAGTCTAGTCGTTGTTTGTCTTTATCTCACAGTGTGTGGTAAAGTTGACTCATGACAATGGTGTAAATTAGAACAGGGTCTAGAGAACAAAATAAGAAGATAATTGTTATAATTGTTGCTGTCTCCATAGTGAGCTGAAATGCTATAGAAAGATTCTTGGAATACCATGGGCAAAGAAGAGAAGAAATTCTGACATTTTAAAAGATCTGAACATCAAGGAAGATTGGCTGATAAATAGCATTTTGTTTCGGAAGCTGAAATATTTTAAAACACCAAGGTGGATTGAAAAAAAATAATAGTAGAAGGGATAGTATCACATGGGGCGACCAGCATGAAGATGGGCACAGGATATAGGTAACTCCTTGAATATGAAAGTACATGAGGCGGGAAAGCTGGCGAGAGACCAAGTTTCTTGCAGGCAGACCGTGATGAGAGCAACCTTTTGCAAAAGACCTGCTGCATGATCCCATCTCCATAGTGTGGTTTATAGCCATAAATATGAACATTTAACTGTGGGACACTTTACCACGGACTTCTCCCCCATCTTACCTCTGTTAGGTACGGATATCATGTCAGCCAATGCTCGTACTTCATTTGCCATGATGAGGAGACTATCACTGCAATGTTCAACAGGCTGAGAAATTTTGATGGGCCAGGAAAGGTAATATTTCATATTCTATATCTTTTTTGCTGTCTGTGTGTTTCTGTCTGGCAAGCTGGCTGTCTGCCTATCTATCCTCCTGCCTGCCTTCTTTTCTAAAACTGTTTATTGACCTACTTTTCTGAGCCTGTTCACCTTTCATTTTGTAAACTAATTTGTTCTGCCTTTTCCTCTCTTCTGTGTGATTATGACAGTAGTGCTTATTTAGTTATTAAACCTTATTATGACATTTCTTGTTTAGTGATAAAACTATATTCTTTATATTATGTATAATATTTGATCAATACACATGTACGTGTCTTTTTGTTTTCCTTTTTTTTCTGTCTTCTTCTTCTTTTTCTTCTTCTTCTTCTTCTTCTTCTTCTTCTTCTTCTTCTTTTTCTTTTTGTTCTTCTGACCTACCCATTCCCTGTTCCTTCTGTTTGTCATCATCATCATCTTTTTCTTTTTATATCATCCTTCTCATCCCATCTTCCTTCAGGTTCAAAAATCTCTCTGCCTATGCCGAAAATTGGTAAATACAGGTAAATATATATATAGTATATATATATATATATATATATATATATATATATATATATATATATATATATATATATATATATATATATATATATATATATATATATATATATATATATATATATATATATATATATATATATATAAACAATGAGATGTGTGTCCAGTTTTAAAACTGCTTTACCGTGCCTAATTTCAGTACCCCAAAAAGTGTGGCAAGTTTGAAATTGCCCATGTGAGGGATCTGACAGTCGGGTATGACAGTGAGACAGAAGACAAGAAACCGGTGAGTGCACATGTTGTTGCCCTTGTAGTCAGTCTTTAGCTTTGGTACTAAAGGAACTCAGAGCTGCATGCGATGCAAAGGATAGGATGACTTGGTGTCAGTTAGTTAGTCAGTCGACCAATTATCCTCATAGCATATCGAGCCATTCAGTCCATAAGTGCTCGCATCCCCTCCTTTTAAATCCTGCAATGTGTAGCAACTTACCGCACCAGCTTTCTGTTGTTTTCTTACAGTGCGCAAACTCTGTTGAACTGGCGAGGATCCTGAAATACTTTGCATAGATTTTTAACTCCAAAATTTTGCCGGGCAGAGCCGTTAGGCTACTCTTTTCTATTTCCAACTGCCAAGGGATTTTTTTGTGTGCGCAAAAATACACACAGTCATCCGATCTTACTACCCAGAGACCAGGGAAAATTACTAGAAGTCTACGTGAAAAAATCCCAGCCTTCACGGGGGCTCGAACCCGGGACCTCAAGCACTCGAGGCCGACACCATACCTCGAGACCACTCAGCCCCCAAAAATATTGAATACCTTTAAGAACAGTTTCTTAGAACAAGAAAAGTTGAAGTCACAACTGTCTGGGACTGATACTGTTCAAAAAAAAAGAAATGCATAGTTACTTAAAGAAACAAACATACTGACAATTTTGACATTCTGCATTTTTGTAATGCAGTAAGTGAAATTACTCAAATTTCACAAAAGAATATCTTAGGGTTCCACCAATCCATTGACACCATTTTTTTATCATCTGGGTCACGATAGTTTTTAAGCGTAGGCCCTTCCCGTTATTATGGTGTGTGGCCACCTCTTGCGTGGATCAGTGACTGGTATCTCTGGGCATTGATGCCATCAGATGTCTGATGTGGGCCTGTGGGATGGCTGCCCACTCTTCCTGAAGTTCCTTGAACAGATCACGACCATTGGCTGGAGCAACGTTTCGGTGACAAACACGTCTTTGCAGCTCATCCCACAGGTGCTCAATCGGACTCATGTCTGCAGACAGGAATGGCCAGGGAAGGGTTTGAATGTTATTGGCAGCCAGGAACTGCCTTGTCATCTGTGCAGAATGTAATCTGGTGTCCTGTTGAAAAAGATATCTGTTGGCATCCCAAAAGGGAAGGACATGAGGTCGAAGAATTTCATGGACATATCGTTGCGTATTCAAGCTTCCTTCAATGTGCACCAGTTGACTCCTTCCTTTGTAACTGATCATTCCCCATACCATTACACCTCCACCACCGTGCATCAACACAATTTTGGGCTAAACCTTCATTTTGTCTACGGTAGACCCTACACTGTCTATAATGAACAACAAAAAGAAAGATTCGTCACTAAACCAGACACGTCTCCACTAAAAGTCACTTACCCAGGGATGATGTTGGTTGGCCCAAAGAAGTCGATTTTGGCGGTGGCAACTCATAAGGACAGGTCCTCGGTGTGGTCGTCGAGCTCAAAGTCCAAAATCATGCAGTCTGTTCTGAACAGTTTGATCAGACACACGACATCCTGGAGGCAATTCTGGTGCAGTTGAGAAAGCTGTTGTAAACCTCTGAGGTGACAAAGCTGAATAAAGCGATTCTCCACTGCTGTTGTCACTCTGAGTCATCCACTGCTATGTCAGTCTTCAACTGAAGACTTGGAATTGGTGCCAGAGTCGACTGATGGTACTCTGATGCTTGTTTAGAAGCCTGGCAAACTGACTGACTTTCTCCTGCCTACAATCGACCAATAGTAACGATTACAAAAACCCACGCCATTCACGCCCACATGTCCACTGGAAACGGTAAACAATATTCGAGTCTGCATTTCAATACCAGAGTGGTATTTTATTTTCAAACTAATAAAAACGCACAATCGGATAACTACGCGTTTCTTTTTTTTAACAGTATAGTTAGCTGAAGTTCAGACATCACTGCAGATGGGTTGCTTCATAATTGCTCCGTTTATATGCCAGTGGAAATTCACTGTTCTATTTGAAAACTAGTCAAGAACATGTCAGTCACTGCAAAATCTTAAAGCTTGTACACACAAAGTAAAAATGCATAAGTCAGATGTGCCAACGCTAAAGGTCTGACACCAGAATTTCAGCCCACCATTGGAGCAGTTAGACGGTCATGAAAGTCAGCATTACACCTGCTGAAGTACATGCCATTCTCAGTGTAACTGGCCACCCACCAATTTAGTGCAATCAACAGCATGCCGCTGGCATAATCACATAAAAAAAAATGTCCTATTAAATTCAAAGCTCGAGAGTGTTGGTAGCCAGTCAAGACTGACCTGGGTTAAATATACAGAAAAGGCATTGTTCCCACCAGTACAACTCTGGGATTGACCCAATGTCATACAAATAAGTAACAGGTCATTTTCAGGGGTTTGGAGGCGTGGGGGGGGTATGAGAAAAGTAACTGGGCTCCCAAAATCATATGTTGTGGCCAAGAAATCCTGAAAAAAATGAGAAATCATGAGAAAATTTTACTAGAATATCGTTACACTGGAACCCAGAACAGGTCCCTAGCAGCTCTTTTGCCATACACTTTCCTGCCTAAGGGGTCTGTTATATCATATGCCCATCTTCATGCTGGTTGGCCCCTGCCCTTCTTACACTGTACCACACCCTCCGCCACTGTTCTCTCCAGTCGACTACGACATTTGATACAGACAAAGTAATTCATTTTCTGAGACAAAATGCTGTTTATGAACTAGGTTTCCTTGATGTTCAGATCTTTTAGAATGCATTATTTTCTCTGTAATAGATACTTTTAATAGCACAGTTACTTTTAAGCTCATATTCTTATGTGACAAATGCTTTATATCTCATATTCTTTATGTAGCAGATACTTATCTCATTCTTTTTTTGTAACAGTTACTATGTGTTTCATGTTTTTTTCTGTAACAAACACTTTTTAACTCATGATATTTCTGTAATATACTTAATATCTCAGTCCTTTCTGTAACAGATTCTTCATATATTTTTGTTTGTTTTGTAAGAAATGCTTTATATCTCATATTTTTTTAAACAGCGTATGTTTTTTTTTTTTTATCTCATGTTCTCCTTGTAACAGACACTTCCAACAAGCAAATCTAGTCAGATGATCACTTTCAAGTTTGCCAATGGTTGTGTGGCAACTTTGAGAACAAGTGGTACAGAGCCAAAGATTAAGTATTACACCGAGCATCGGCCGGATCCTGAAAAGGGGTAAAATATATTCTGTTTTACTTGTATTTGTATGGTTTGATTTGGTTTGAACAACAGATCAACATCTTGGCACAAGGGTAGTAACCCATAAGTGCTCCGTTCTACTTCTAATTTAAGCCTGAGTCCGAAGAATCTCAGCGCAGTGCATGAACACCATAGCACCGGTGAAGATCCTGAACTATTCTAGGTAGATTTTTAACTCCAAATTTTTGCCTGGGCAGCGCTGTTAGGCTACTGTTTTCGATTTTCAACTGCCAAGGAATATTTTTTTACGCGGGCAACAATACACACAGGCATTTGGTCCACGTGAAAATAATCACATCCTTCACTGGGGCCTGAACCGGGTCCTCCAGCACTCGAGGCGGACGCCATGCCTCAAGATCACTCAGCCCCCTTACTTTCATTCATGCTTGTGGATAGTTTAAAAAAATTATGTGGAAGCGGCAGAGATGTCATTTTACAGACGAATGATGAGAACACCCTGGATAGAAAAAAGAGCAATGAAGTACTGGAACTGATTGCCCACATCAGAAAGAGACAATCTACATACTTTGGTCATGTCATAAGAAGGAGAAAACTGGAGTGCATTGTGACGATGGGAAAGTTGGAAGGGAAAAGAGGCAGAGGGAGACCAAGAGAGATGTTGCACAGTTTGACTTCATGACAAGGAAAATCATCTGTCTCAGAATTGATTGAAAGTATACAAGACAGAAGGTTGTGGTTAGATATTACTACCAACGCCACACAGCATAGACTGTAAGAAGAAGTTTCTTATTCAAATTGTGGTTTTATTTTTATTCTGTTACTTCAACCAAAGGTATTTTTTTTAAACAGTTGAAGGTCATAAAACCTTGTTTGTCCCCGATGTTACTGGGACCCCAGAGAAAGAATACAAAAATAGTGACACTATTCTTCTTCTTCTCCTTTTTGTTCTCCATCCGTAAACTCTAGAGGAAATCTCTGGTTGTTTGCCCACTCCTGAACTTTGGTCTCATTCCAGGACTTGAGTCTTGCAAGCACATCAGTTTTACGTATCTGGCTTATTGCTGTGCAGACTGTTGGTTCCTCGCTTCACAAGCAGATGCTGTCCCACTTTTGAACTAAACACTCCTAATTAGTCACCCCCATGACATACCTGATAGGGAAACAGTGGGTTTTCCCTTTCGGCCAAAAATAAACCCAGAACCCACATGGGAAGTAATGCTATTCAGATCCCATTCTTAAAAAAATATCCTTTTTTTAAAAAGCAACTGCCTACTGTTTCATTTTATGTTTGGATTACAGAGCTTTCAAACAATGGCAAATCAATTAACGTAAAATTGCTTAGTTAAACCAATGAATGATTGAATCAAGAATTGACATAGCTGCACTTGAGACATTCCCACATGTCTGTAGAACATGGACATTCCCACATGTCTGTAGAACATGGACATTCCCAGATGTTTGTAGAACATGGACATTCCCACATGTCTGTAGAACATGGACATTCCCAGATGTCTGTAGAACATGGACATTCCCAGATGTCTGTAGAACATGGACATTCCCAGATGTCTGTAGAACATGGACATTCCCACATGTCTGTAGAACATGGACATTCCCAGATGTCTGTAGAACATAGACATTCCCTTCTTCAGTAGCCACCGAAGAGTCATGAAACCAAAACAACCAACAAATGTTGGGTTTGGTTCTGCAACATGCTGTAAATGATACGCAACTAACTGACCTTACTTCTGTGTTATATGCAACTAACTGACCTTACTTCTGTGTTATATGCAACTAACTGACCTTACTTCTGTGTTATATGCAACTAACTGACCTTACTTCTGTGTTATATGCAACTAACTAGCCTTACTTCTGTGTTGGCTTTCTTTCTTCTTGTGTTTTGCATTGGAATCGTGTTTAATATGATGCTTCTTCTTCTAAGCATTCACTGGCTGTAAACTCTGGCAAAGTGTTCTGGTTGTTTATCCGCTCCTGGACTTGTCTTGATCTAGACCGAGTCTTGCATGCACATCCGTGTTACAGAACTGGCTTTTTTGTATGCAGACTGTTGGTTTCTTGCCTTCCATGCCGCTGCACTTTGAGGGAAACACCCCTAATTAGTCGCCTCCTATGACATGCTTGTGGGGGAGGGGGGAACAGTGGGTCTATTCTTTGCTCTCCAAAACGGAGCCTCGGAACCCACATATGATAAAATAATATGATGCTAAAACTAATATGCTCAACTATTTCCTTCATGTTCATCGTACAGACTGGGGGCTGAAGAAGTCAAAAAAGAACTGGAGCAGATTGTTGCCAGCATCGAAGAACATTTCTACAACATCAAACTATTCCCCAAAATTTTACGAAGGCAGTAATTTACATTACAAGCTTTGTGTTGTCTGCTCATAAAAATTATATAGTATGTGTAATTTATATGTTTGGTTTCAGGGAAGAATGATGCAAACTAGATTACTGATTCTGTAATAGTTAACTTTTGATGGGTTGTCCATACTTGTTCAGACACAATTTTATTGGTCACTCTTGCCCTAAGCTTCTTCTTCTTCATATTGATTGGCTGTAAACTCCAGCGGAAAGTTCTGGTTGTTTGTCCATTTCTGGGCATTGGTTTTGTTCCAGAACTTGTGTTCGCATGCGGATCCATTTTACAAATCTGGCTTATATATATGCAGACTGTTGGTTCCTTGCCTCGCAGACAGGTGCACTTTACTCCGGGGGGAACAACTCTAATTATTCACCTTTTACGACATGCTAGTTGAATGAGCATTGACTTTCTCTATATCTCTCCCCCCCTCTTTCCCCCGCCTCTCAAAGTGGGACCCCAGAACCCACATAGGGAGTTGAGCCACTTGTACCCATACAGGACTGCAGGTTACACCAGGCTGGTGTAACCACTACTGGTACTTCAGTTGTAACTTCTTTGGCAGTTGAACTGGGTATCCAGGATCTTCTTTGCTGGTCTACCATCCAGACTGAGATTTTCTAAATTTCAGGGTGGTAAACCTTCAGGTAGCAGCCCAGAGGGGACAAACTGATCAATCAAAAACTAATTATGAAATGTGGGGGTGCCATGGTGGCCTAGTGGCTAGACACTCGCTTTTGACCTGAAATCTTGGTTTTAGATTCAATCCACATCAAGTCTTTAAAAATTAGCTTTGACTCCCACGTCAGCCTAGCTTAAAAGGTAGTAAGTTATCTTCTGGGAAGACAAGTTGGCCAGCGGGATGTTGACCACGTCACCCACTGAGTGCCGATTCGTCTATAAAAATATGATCCATCAAAAACTAATCAGGAAATGTGGGGTGCCATGGTGGCCTAGTGGTTACACTCGCTTTTGGCATGAAGGTCTTGGTTTTAGATTCAATCCACATTGAGTCTTTAACAATTGGCTTTAGCTTCTACGTCAGCCACATAAGCCACTGAGTGCCGATTGGTCTATAAAAATATGATTCTAGCATCATATTCCTGACGGGCTACTGGGAAAAAAATGGGTTGTTTACTAACTTACTTAAAAGACAAGCCAGTATTGGCTTGATGTGAACTTGTCGAGGGTTTGTTTTGTGATAGTAGATAGAAGGCAGTTAAAGAAGAAAAAGAACGATTATCTAGAAAAAGAATTATTTGTGTAAAGTTAAAGTTAAAAGTTATTGTCAGGCAGCTCTGCTGTAAACTGCACCAGAACATTGGCAACTGTGAACTTCTTTTAGCAGCATTGAAAAAAAGGAAAAATGCAATGGTATGGACATGTAATAAGACTACCAGCCTCTGCAAAAGAATACTACAGAGGAAGTAGAAGGGGAAGAGAAGAAGAGGCAGACCAAGAAAGACCCAGCCTTACATGGTATTATGGAACTATGATGATGGACAGTAAAAGCAAAGTTTGCTACTCATCAATGTCTGCAATTGTTGAATCAAATGGTACATGCTTTTTGGTCTCCCTAATTAATCATATCTTTGAGATGACTATTTTCACAGTGAGTGGGTTATTTTTGGTTCTTTATTAATAACCTGCCCAGATGACGTCACAGGACAATCCAAGATTTCAGAGGGTTGTAATACTGGCTTTCCGATGCTTTTGACAACCCCAAAACATCTAGAACTGGCTCTAACCCAACCCACCTACATCCCACGAGAGAGTGCAGCCTAGGTCCCACGACTGCATGCAGCCTATCTACCACCCCCTGAAATATTAGACTGTCCCGTGACCTGTGGGTTTCCCCTGTTTGGGGTTGGATATTAATAAAGCACCATATATATATATATATATATATATATATATATTTTTTTTTTTTAAATAATTTGATTTACTGTGTAATTAATATTCTAGTGTTTTTCTTTACAGCATGAATTCCCTAAAGAAATATTGACTCCATTCTGGTTTTTCTCTAGTGTTAATTTTACCTTTTCATTTCTTTTACATTCAAGTGCCATTTTTATTGTACGTCTCGATGCATATTCATCTTTGAAGATGTATGTTTTCTATTATTGGCTAATTTATTGTTAGTAATGATTTATTTGGTATCTGTGTATGTTTTAAATTATTGAATAGTAAGTTATTGTAGATAATAATTTATTTTTGAATCTGTACATGCAGTTAAAATCTCAGTCTAACTCATTAACATAAGATTTATTCATAAGTTTAGACGGAGTTATGTTTGTTTATTGCCAAAGTATTCTCCACCAGGGAGTCACGGTGGCCGAGCGACTAGACGCTCGCGCGGATCAGAAGGTTGTGGGATCGCTCCCTGGCAGAGTCGGACTTTTTTCAAAAATGACCTTGGCTCCCAGGTCCACCTAGCCTTGAGTGGGTACCGGGTGCAGTCCCGGGAAAGTAAAGGTGGCCGGGTTGATGCTAACCACATCACCCTTCTATGCCGATTGGGCTATAAAAATATAGGTCTAGCCCTATATGCCTGAAGTGGAAACGGGTCCTTTACTTTTTTTTTTCTTATTCTCCACCTAGATGCCTATTCTGATTTATAGTAAAACAGAAGTAAAAAAATGTAAATTACAAAAAACTGCATAACAGAAATCTGTACTGCCCAAAAAATGTTCACTTTACGGAAGCTCAAACATTGGACAGTTTCCAGAGTTGACGAGACAGGAAGTCTTGGATTGTTCCAGACAAGTCTGTGAAGATGCTTGTTTGGTGACTAAGCGTGACACGTTAGCGTTCAGGTCGTCTGAAGGAAACAAGGGAAACTTCAATATCCCACTGCTACTATTAGTGTTGAAGCTGCAGTAGCCGTGCTTGACTGCCCAGCACTTATGTGTTCAAATCCCCAAAGAGGCAGGAATTTTTTTAATGGACCCTGGCATCCAGGTTGATCCAGTCTAAAATGGGTCCCGGGAAGTTTTCTGTGAAGTAAAGACAGACAGTGAGATAGTGATCACATCACCCACTGAGTTCAAGTTGGACTATGGAATGATGAGTCTGGTACATTCCTCTTCTTCACATTCACCGGTTGTAAACTCTGGAAAAAGTTCTGGTTGTTCGTCCACTTATGGACCTTAGTCCTGTTCCAGAACTTGAGTTTTGTGTGCACATCTGTTTTACAGATCTGGCTTAATTGTGAAGTGACTGGTAGCCTCTTAGGCAGCTGCACTCCGTCTTCAAAGGAAACACTCTTAATTAGTCAATTTTTAAGACATGCTTGTTGGGGGGGGGGGGTAATATTCTACACCCCCCCCCCTTTCACAAATAGGGTTCTGTAACCCATATAGAGAGACTAGATCATGAAGTGCATGAGCTACTTGCGATATCAAAAGACAAGACTTGGCGAGAGCTGGTCGAGGGCCTGTGACCCATTGGAGGATAAAGAACAGATAAAGTAGTACTATACCCAGTAGACTTCAAGATCATGAATTGGTCTCTGTGGCGCAGTGGACAGGCTGTTTGCCTCATGCTCTAAAGGTCCTGGGTTTGTTTCACAGCCGAGTCATTCGGTTCACGAAAACCATTTCTATGGAGATCCTCCACCCAGGGTTCATCACTGGAGCTATGGAGTTTGTGCTTTATGCAACACTCTCAGCAGGCGGCTAACCATTCTGCAGAGAGAGGCTGAGTCATATGGGATAAACCCAATGCAATAAAGTCAATTATTTTGACTTTAACCTTTAGACTTAAAAAGAGAGTAATTTGACTTCTCAAGAATTATTCTTGTATATGTTTCTGTGTTACTGAACAACCAGTACTCATGCCCATTTGTGTTGACATTATTGTTCACGATTTTATAGACATTCCTGGTTATTCATGCTGTATTGTTTTCCACTGTCTAGCTTGTTGATAAAAATGGTACACATGTTCCCCTCAAAAGGGATGTTACATAATTTAGAGTAGGTTAAGAATTCAGAACTGTATTGACCAGTTTTGTTTTGTAGACTTCATTTCTTAATAGTTAAACTGTACTTACTAATACACTGCTAATTGAGTCACAAGATATTAAAAGCTTCTCAAGAATGACTGAATCAAGAATTGACATCACTACACTCGAGACATTCCCACACATGCTTCTTGACATCACCACCCTCGGGACATTCCCACACATGCTTCTTGACATCACTACACTCGGGACATTCCCACACATGCTTCTTGACATCACTACACTCGGGACATTCCCACACATGCTTCTTGACATCACCACCCTCGGGACATTCCCACACATGCTTCTTGACATCACTACACTCGGGACATTCCCACACAGGCTTCTTGACATCACTACACTCGGGACATTCCCACACATGCTTCTTGACATCACTACACTCGGGACATTCCCACACATGCTTCTTGACATCACTACACTCGGGACATTCCCACACATGCTTCTTGACATCACCACCCTCGGGACATTCCCACACATGCTTCTTGACATCACTACACTCGGGACATTCCCACACATGCTTCTTGACATCACTACACTCGAGACATTCCCACACATGCTTCTTGACATCACCACCCTCGGGACATTCCCACACATGCTTCTTGACATCACTACACTCGGGACATTCCCACACATGCTTCTTGACATCACTACACTCGGGACATTCCCACACATGCTTCTTGACATCACCACCCTCGGGACATTCCCACACATGCTTCTTGACATCACTACACTCGGAAAGTACCCACACATGCTTCTTGACATCACTACACTCGGAAAGTACCCACACATGCTTCTTGACATTACTACACTCGGAAAGTACCCACACATGCTTCTTGACATCACTACACTTGGGACATTCCCACACATGCTTCTTGACATCACTACACTCGGAAAGTACCCACACATGCTTCTTGACATCACTAAACTTGGGACATTCCCACACATGCTTCTTGACATCACTACACTCGGAAAGT